GGGACTCCTTTGGCAATGACTCAACAATATGTAACCCAATCCTGGCATCGGAGGTTTTACTTGGTTGTATATGATGTCTAGTTGGGACATTGTCTCCCTCATTATATGGTAGACATGGTTCAGTTGGTAGAGTGCTTGCCTAGCACACAATTTATACTTCTTAACTTCTCCTGCTTGATATGTGTTGGATTTATGTTTGTTTCCTTCTAATAGCTTCAGTGAGTGGGGTACCATCATCAAGTTTCCACAGTGATGGCATTCAGTTTATTTCAAATCATTTGCTATTTATTTTACTTGGTTCTCACAATTTTAGCAACCATGCTATTCAAGATAGTCCATCCTCGATCTGTCATAGTGCCAATTTCCCAATACTACACAGCATATTCCCCAATTTTCTTTTTAACCATTTTCTAATAGTACAGTTGAAAAGTAACTTGGACTTCTCATACATGATAAGTCAAGCATTCTTATGAGTGAAATGATCTAGCATACTTTTAAAGCACGAATTCTACACATTCTTTGTCATTGTTCCATTTGGTATCCTATTATTGATTCATGGAAACTCTTTATATACTGCCTGTGATCAATGCTGACATAATTGAACATAACTTCCAGTACTGGTTCCTGAAGGAGACATTAAATCGTGTTTTTTTTTCCCAGCATTCTGTTCTCCAACCTGAAGTTTTTACATTATAAATTAGAAACAATGTTAGAAAACATCTGTTTCCTTCCTTCTAGAGTAGCTTTTGTAAACAAGGCCAAATTTACAAGCTAGTAATCTGCTACCGTCTTTCCAAACTTTGTCTTTGGGCATAGTGGAAGTCTTTGTGTGTGAACTGGTAGATCTTGTGAGTTGCGTTCTAATGGAGGTAAGCAGCGTACTTGCCCTGGCTTGTAAGATTTAATCAAAGAACAGCCTAGTCATCAGAGGCTATTCCTTTAGGATCAGAGACCATTCCTCTAGGTCAAAGGGCTACCTAAAGGCTGAATGTGGCCACATGTATTTTATTTTTTGGTCAGCATGATACTTAGAAAAAAAAAAACAAACAACAACAAAATTAGTGAGTGATTTTACAGAAATATCTAGATGTCTAGCTTCTCTTGGGGAAAACACACACACACTCATATACACATACACGAGCTGGCAACAGTGTTTCCACATGACAGAGACTTATATGAATCTCTCCTTAATAGCCATAAAGCCAGATATTTTTGCTTTCCTCAGATCAGCCTGCTTCCCTCTCTAATTACCTACCTGGCTCCTGGAGTCTTTGCCTTTGCAACCTTTAACCCTCTGCTTCCAGAGTGCCCCACCCCATTTCCACTTCTCTCCGGTCCCAGGCTCCCTTTCCACTTGGAGACGCACGGTGGCGTGTTGGTTGGACTCTGTCCCATGTCCTCATATCCCCATCTCAGCACTTAGCAGCACAGTCTGTTCTTTGGGATGCCTTCCCACACTTTTTGGAATGACAACAGTCTGCTCTGCTAGCGCACGCATTTTAAAGCGGTTTAACAGGCTTTCTCAAGCTTGAGAAAGATGAACAGAAGCATATTGAAGGTGTCTTTGGGGCACCATTGACATGAACACATCTGCTTGGATGGAGTGTGTTCGTGTTAATGGATGCTGAGGAGGATGTGACCGAGGAGAATCAGTGGGATGCAGCACACATAACAACCCTGATCCTCAATCACACCCTCCTCAGCATCCATCTGAACCACAGCCTCAGCCTTGTAGTTGGTATCCGTCTGCAGGGCTCTTTGCTTCAATATGACTTTTCAGAAAGCTTTTCTAAAAGGTAGCTCTTGTTTCATCCACTGGAACCCCCTTTAAAAACTTTCAGTCAATCTCTGTTATTTAGAGGAAATGTTTCACTGTCAACAAAGTGCCTCAGTGTTTATAATGGGGCCTTAGGACTTATTTCCAACCCCTCTGTACACCTCTGGTCTGGGTGCTTCAGTCTGTCATTCTCTAAGACTGCTAAGAGCATTTTCTCCTCAACTGATGCAGCTGAGGCTTTCTTTCACTGCCAGGTCTATTCCTCCCCTTTCAGTTAGCTTGTTCTTCAAGCTCTGTTAATAATGCTTAATATTGATTGTCAACAGATCTAGGATCACTGAGGAAGCAGGCCTCTGGACACCTGTGAGGACTTAACTAGATTGGGTTAGCTACTGAGCATGCCTGTGGGGGATTATCTAGATTAGGCTAATTGACATAAGGAGACTAACCTTAACAGTGAGCAGCATGGTACCACAGACTTGGGTCCTGGACTGAATGATAAGGAGAAAGGGAGCTGAATGTTAGCATACTCACCTCTAACTGTGGACACAATGTGACCAGCTTCCTCAAGTTCCTGTCACTGTAGACTGTACCCTCAAACTGTGAGCCAAAGAAGCCCTCCCTCCCTTACGTTGCCTTCATTGGGATATTTGTTTGTTTGTTTGTTTTGTTTTTCAAGACAGGGTTTCGCTGTGTAGCTTTGCGCCTTTCCTGGGACTCACTTGGTAGCCCAGGCTGGCCTCGAATTCACAGAGATCCACCTGGCTCTGCCTCCTGAGTGCTGGGATTAAAGGCGTGCACCACCACCGCCCGGCTCATTGGGATATTTTATCAAAGCAGCTAACATGAACTCCAAATCAGTATTCCTTTCTCTATGGAATCTTCCATTTTCTCCAGTTGGTCCCTGCTGCCCTCTTAGCCTTGACACCACAACTAACTCGGAGTCTCTCTCCCTGGACTGTGAACTCTTTGGAGTTAAGAAACTAATTTACCTTTATGTCTCCAGACACAATCTCACTGTTTGGTGTTTAGTAAATATTTAGTGAATGAAAGAAGGAGCCATCGACACTTTAACCCCGTTATCAGTCAGTCAATCATTTGATAGAGTCTAGAGAATGTGTGTTTTTCCTTTTGCAGCAAGCAGTATCTTCCCAACTGGCCAAGCCACTATTGTCTTAGGTTTTTGTCAACATGGTACAGGCCACCCTGTGTGGCTGGACCGCTTGCCTCCATCCCAGCTTCAGTTGTTACATTTCAACTCTGTCTTAGTCGCTGTTCTATTGTGAAGAGAACCCATGACCAAAGCAACTCACAAAAAAAAAAAAAAGCATTTCATTGGGGGCGTGCTTGCAGGTTCACAGGCTGAGTCCATGACCATCGTGGTGGGAAGCATGGCGACAAACAGGCAGGCGTGGCACTTTAGCAGTAGCTGAGAGCTTATATTCGGAATTCGGATCATCCACGTGCGTGACCAGAGGGAGGGGGGAGAGAGAGAGAGACAGAGACAGAGAGACAGAGAGAGAGAGAGAGAGAGAGAGACTGGGCCTGGCATCTGTTCTTGAAACCTCTGAACCCACCCCAGTGACACACCTCTCCAAACAGTTCTACCAGCTAAGGACCGAGCATTCAAATATAGGAGCCTGTGGGGGCCGCTCGCATTCAAACCACACCAAGTGCGACTCGGGCAACAGTTGAGCATCCTGCAAACCTTTGCTCTCTTGGTCTGGCCCTGGCACTTGCTTCCCATTCTGGTTTGCAGATATTTTCCGGCCCCTTCTAATGGCTGTGTCCTGGGACAGCTTAGAAATGCTTCCCCAGCCTCACCTGTCCTCCTCTGGATCCAACGTCTGCATGTCTGCTGTGTGCTCCATGGGACTTGTCACATTGTGACCTTTGTCTCTTCTGCAGTCCCAGCTCCAACCCCACCCAGCTCCCCTAGGACAGATTTTCGGTTTTTGACAATGGTAGGAGGGCGGATTTTTGGTGTCAACTAGATTTTCAATAAACGTCAAATGAGTAAAACTAACAAACAGAATGAAGGATGCCTGGTGTGCTGTAGATGATTCATTGAAGCATCTAACGCTTATCCCTCTGTTTGATTTGAGTTGACCCATCCATTTCAAGTTAGTATGTATACCACGCATAAGTTAGGACAGAGAGGAACACAGAAACCCCATGTTATGTTATTTCAAACATAGGAAAGTTAATACATGGGCTGTTTCATGATAGTGAGAGACTAGGAGAAGAAGGCAGGAAGCAGAGGCCATCTGGCTATTTATTAGTAAATGTTGGAAGAAGAGGTATCACCGCCTCAGAGAAAACCTGCTGTGACCCTGAGGGTGTGGAGCAAAATGGGACACAAGCATTACCAGAACCTGGTTGCTCAGAAAGAAGAGACATTGGACCAGATTAAAGGCTCACATATTTCTAAGATGTTCACTGGTGGACAGATGTTGAAATGGAAAGGTGAGAAGTGAAGACACTGTGGAGAGTCAGTAGAGTTAGCCAGACCCAGACTTGCAAAGGGAACCTATGGTGTCTAACTGCATGGGATTCGAACGACCACTCTGTCCTATGTAAATGGGTTTCCTAGAACGTAAGCAGGCATTGTGGAGGCAGGAGGCTAACCCTTAAGAGAGTGTCACTCTCCTGGGCTGCTGTCTCTCCAGGTTCATGATCCTAGCCTGTCTCTAGTCTCCAGGCTCGGCTCGGCTCGCTTCTGAACTTCCTGATCATCACATCAGCTCATGCAGCAACTAGAGCATGCTGGGAACCACTTGAAAACATGAGTCCTTTTAAAGTTGAGATTCTTAAGAAGTGGTTAACGTAGGTGTTGAAACAGCATTTTATTGGATGTTTGCAGTGCCCCAGAGTTGTGTTTATCAAGTTTTCATGGGTCCTCAGTCAAGTGAAATACGTAGTAAGGGCTCTCTGTGGAGCCTGACGTATAACAGTCATCATTTTAAACCTATCAACTTACAGCCAACTCATTTAATTTTCTAGACAAGTGTATGAAGTAGGTTTTAGTCGGAATTTATTTGAAATTACTGGTCTTCAACCATTTTTACCTACAAAATAGTGATTTAATATGGGTCAACCTAATATACTCATTTTTTAACCCGTTTTACAAAAGGCGGGGAAGCTGAGGCAATAGAGGTTAAAGAAGAACTGAGTCACACAGAAGGCAAGCACAGGCAGCCTGTACTTAACTGATGCTCCCTACCGATTGCTTCTGAGCGGCGCCATCTCATCCTCTTCTGCAGACGAGGAGCCTGGGGCTTAAACAGTTAGGTCACAGAGCCAGGAGCGGTGTGCTGGACTTCTAGACCTGTCTAACAACTCTGCCTTGCCTCTGTCCACGTTATTCCACATCGTCTCTTCCGTGCAAGCCACGCTGCTCACAGTGGGAAGTGGGTGAATTCGTCCATTTTGTTACCCAGGCGCGGCTGTCATGGTGATGAATTGGTTATTTGCAAGGTTTCTTTGCTGGAGACACGGTTGCCTGGATTGTTTTGTCGTCACACAATGATGTCAGAGATGACACAAACAATGCCATTCTAAACTACCTGGGGCGTGGTCTAGACACTCCCCTCCAACGCCCGAGTCAGTACATTCTTCTTTGAAAACTGCCTCAAAGTTGTGTTTGTTCACCTGTGGAAGATACTCAGCTCGAGACCACTTTCCTCCTCAGAAATTCATTGATTTATTGAATATACACTATATAAGAAGCCTGGTGCTAGTTGATAGGGATTCGACTCTTAATAATATGGACACAACTGTTTTATTGTATTTTCAGCCTACCTGGGAATGTTGACTCTAATATTAACAATCATTGATTTTTTTTAAAAAAAAAATTCATTGATTTTATGTGTAAGAGTATTTTGTCTGCATGTATGTCTGAGCATTATGTACATGCCTGGTGCCCTCAAAGGTCAGAAGAGGGCTTCAGATCCCTTGGGACTAGTGTAACGGATGATCTTAAGCTGCCATGTAGGTGCTGGGAATCAAACGTGGGTACTCTGCCAGAGCAACAGCGCCCCGCCCTTAACCTCTGAGCCGTATCTCCAGCCCAATCTTTACATTTGTTTGTTTGGGGTGGGGAGATGCACGTGTAGAGGTCAAAGGACAAGTGGGAGGAGTCCTTCTCTCCTACCCTGTGGGTTCCAGAGTCCAGACTCACATCATCAGACTCAGACTTGGCAGGCATCTTTACTGGCTGAGCCACCTCACCAGCCCCCAATAGAGGCTTTTGATAGCTGCGTGGGGAATTCTAGGTCCCTTGATCCAGGGGAGGGTACTTTAGTTTGGAGTACAGCTACTTGAGGTGTGGTGTGCTGGATGGTTTATGTCGACTTGACACAAGCTAAAGTCATCTGAGAGGAGGGGACCTCAATTAGGAAAATGCCTCTGTAAGATCAGGCTGTAGGTGAGCCTGTAGGACATTTTCTTAATTAGTAATTGATGGGAAAGGCTGTTGCCCATTGTGGGTGGTGCCATCCCTGAGCTAGTGGTCCTAGGTTCTGTACAACAGCAGGCTGAGCAAGCCATGTAGAGCGACCCAGTAAGCAGCACCCTTCCAAGGCCTCTGCACCAGCTCCTGCTTCCAGGCTCCTGCCCTGTTTGAGTTCCTGTCCTGACTACCTTTGGTGATGAACAGCCATATGGAAGGCTTCCTTCCACACCCACTGAGTTAGAATTTGGTGAAGGGGGGCGGGGACAGAGGTAAGAAAAAGGAACCCGTATTTTGAAAATATCTCCCAAGAGATTCTTAAGCACGCTGAACTTTGAGATGTCCTGCGTGGTCGTCTCATGGCCTAGATGAGGAGTAACATTGACCCTGAGTCTGGAAGGGTAGCTAAGAGGAGGTGAGAGGCGGGAGGTAGGAGAGGATTGTTCCAGGCTGTGAGGACAGTATATGCCAAGTTCTAGCAGTCCACAAAAGAAGGATCAGCTGGAGGAAGCCATGGTTGCTTGTTAGAGACAAAGAATCATCGCAAAGAAAGAGACATCAGAAGGGGTGGAGCTGAGCCCTGTGAGTTCTGAAGCAAGAACACGAGGAAGAAATGACGTGGTGAACTTGTGTGCTTGAGGGTCTTATCTTCTGGCCTCACAGCAGCCTGGTTACTCAGAAGGTTGCTCTGAAGAGGATGAGGACCCCAGGAAGCCTCCAGGAACCTCTGTTGTTGGGCTGTGTAACAGGAAGAACTGCCCCCCAAGCCACATTGCTGTCCCTGTCCTCTAAGAGGCAAGTTGGATCAAATACTTTAGATTGTCTGGAGTCTTTCCTGGAAGAATGTGGATCAGAGCAGTGCTTTCAAAGAAGAATGTGAACCAGATCACGAGACTGATTGCAATAGGCAGGGTGGAGTTTTTCTCGGTGAGATGACTGAGGATTTAAACCTACTACGGTTTGGACTGTGCCCCGCAGACCCCTGTTCTGGATGCTTGGCCCCAGCTTGCAGCACTATTTTGTAGTCTGTGGAGCTTTCGGGGCTGGACTGGTAGAAATGGGAAACGTTGGGGCTGGCCTCTGAAGTTTATACTTGTTTCTATTCCTACCCTGTCTCCCTTGCTTCTGGCTCTGCCCCATGTAAACAAGCCACTGCCACACACTTTCCCTGCAGTGAGGTCTGCCTGCTGTCCCTTCCCCACCAGGACAGAATGTGAGCCAGAGCAAACCCCTCCTCCATAAGGTGTGAGAAAGTAACTAATAGGAAACCTAAGATGAGAGGGGTTGGTCGCTCTTAAACCAGAGGGCAGAGGAGCCAAGTGAGGAACGCCACGGGCAGGACCTCATCCAGCAAGACTACTGCCGTGGGTAACCCAGGAAACCGAAGTCGGTGAGATCACTGACTTAACGGATGGATGGTGAGGTTAATGTCAAAGGGAATTAGGATGAAGGGGGGGGCGTTCTTCCTGCAATGTCCCCCCAATTCACTCACTGTTCTGTTTCCTGTGGTTATGTCTGCTCAATTGGTGTGCAAACTGAAAGGCAGGTCTGGGAGCATTGTTGTGTCCTCACAGGACCCAGGGGAGAAGGACATATTTTTACCCCTCTGTGTCCTGTGAACTCTGAGTAGGAGCTGCGACTGAGCGTTTGGCTAACAGGTTCCTGGCAGAAATGGGGAAGCACTCCAGAGGAGGTAAACCTGAGGGTGGTGGAAACACCTCATAGTTTGGGAAAGCTGCTTTGAAAGACAGAGGGCAGCTGCCATCATCATCGGGAAGCTGCCTTTGGGCCTGGCCCCCGTGACAGTGGCGGATAAGCCTCCCAAGCCAACATCGTCAACACCCCCCTGGAGGCTCCGGGCTGGACTAGGCCCTTCCTCTTTCCAGCTGCTCAGCATTCCTGACAGGTTCCATCACACCTGAGTGGCAGGCTCCTGAAACGACAGAGGGACTGGAAAACAGAAGCTGGCTGCTCCGGGAAACCTGGGGGCAAGACCTGGAGGCTTGGGGCTGTTTCGCCTTTAGTCAGTCCCTTTGATGGATTCCAGGACATATCATTGTGTCCCCACGCACTGCACAGTGAGCAGATCCTCCGTCCCCAAGTAGGGTGGGCAGGACAAAATCCAGTAAACGTCATTACATTTGAATTTCAGAAAAACGTCAAATAATGCGTGGTTATTGTCTAAGATATGGGAAACATTTCATAGTCACAGGGTATCCTACATCTTATATGTGCTAAGTCCAGCTCTCGAGGGGCTTCTAAGGGGCGGGTACCTGTTTCTTTTCTTGTGGGGCTTTTAGTCTTTTATGTTGGGATTCTCTCCCAGGTGGAAACTTTCCAAAAGTCTCAGAGGAATGGCTGCTTCTCAAACTTTGGCTAGGCTATCTCCTGGCATCGTGTTTGTTCATGTAGGGCCATCTAGGAAGGAAACCAAGACAAGAGAGCACGAGGTTAGCTCTCCATCCTTCCTTAAGCCTTAGCTGCAAAGGGCTAGCCTGGGAAGCAGAGGCAGGCCAGCAGGAGTCATAGGCACAGCCGTGGGCTCAGACACTGTCAGGAGAGTGTTTGCTGGTCAGTGACCACCGCTCTCGATGCAAACTCCTTGATGGGTTAGCTGAGGAAGGGGTCTCATAGACACAGGGCTGTTCCTTCATGAGCAACACACTCTCAGCTTGAGACCTGGACAAACCATTCCCCGACTCCAGACCCTTAATCACTGTAACCCTCTGCCTGGGGAATTTTGAAATTTGATCGAAACATGAGTCGATGGAAAGCAACCGGCAGATTCCTGCCTTGCAGAAAGTGACACTTCCAGCCGACCACCACTTCCGGGAAGACTTCCTTTACCAGAACAGCCACACAGGTGTCTTTAGGGGAATGCGCGTCAGTACCTTCTTGAAAGAAACAAAAACAGAACCAAGAAAAGTCAACACTGCTGCTAACTTGAAAGTGATTAAGGGGGTGGTGGTTCCTGGTTCTGGAGGTGGCTGGAGTCAGAACTGCCTCTCTGCCTATTTTCTGTCTTTGGGAGATCAGGTATAGTAGCTAAAGATCTGAGTGAAACAGTAAGACGGAGTTCGGCGTAGATCAGCTGGCCTGTCATCTGTGGCTTGAGACCAAACTCACTGCCGATGAACGCTGGGACTGCCCGGTATCCTGAGGCCTATGGGGCAAGGCTACCCCCTTGTGGTAGGGTTTGGAACTGCTCCCTAAGAAACAAATCCCTTGCCAGTCCTTTCAAAATGGTCCAATTACACAGGATTAGGTAAAACCTCAACAACAGCGGCTTAAGTGCACAAGATTGACTTCCCCTTCTAAAAGAGAGGCTGAAAGTGGGCAGTCATAGCTACTAAGGCTCCCCAAAGGCTCAGGCTTCCTTCTACCTCGCAGGTTAATCAGTCTTAATGAATGGTTTCTTCTCAAGGTTACAGGATAGTTGCAGGAGTGACAACCATAATATCCATATTGTAGCCTAGATATAAAAAAAAATAGAAAGGAATAAAAAAGATAACAAATGTGAGATTTGTGTTTGTGTGTTGGGATGAAGTCTCCCAGCCGACCCTCCCTTTAGTCTTTCAGGAACCCTCAAACACATCCACTGCTAAGTCCTCCAGACACACCCACCGCTAAATCCTTCTAAATAAATCAGTCGCTGCCACCAAGGAAGTGAAGGAATAAATCTCAAATGGCAAGCCGGGTGGTGATAGCGCACACCTTTAATCCTAGCACTCGGGAGGCAGAGCCAGGCGGATCTCTGTGAGTTCGAGGTCAGCCTGGTTTACAGAGCGAGATCCAGGACAGGCACCAAAACTACACAGAGAAACCCTGTCTTGAAAAACCAAAAAAAAAAAAGAAAAAAAAATCTCAAATGGCAGCAGTGGCATTTGCCTCTCTGGAGAGCATGTAGGCTGAGACTTTCAAAACCCTTGGACAGTTGGCCCGAATTTCCTGACTGTGGGTCTGTGCTGACTCTCACCTGGAGCCAGCCCCGAGGCCAGGAGAACTGGAAGACTCTGGCAGGCCTGCCTCAGGGTGGCTG